TATATATATATATATATATATATATATGGTTTTTGTATCATAAAGCGACACCAAAATTAGTGTGTTGGTGCCTGAATCTCATAATGTATACTGCATTATAACAACTTCAAGACAATAATTGTTTACAAGTTTGACGGGCTATTCCATACATACTCCACGTACTCTCCACGTCATAAAGATTTAAATAGTTTCATTTCGTGTCAATATAAGTGCTTGTATGCTTGCGTGTGTGCGTGTATGTTTTTTTTGGTAGGGGGAGTGGTTGTGTCTGTTCGTAATGAGCATCATTGCGATGCTGTATGCCGAAAGTGCGTCTGTGTGAGTCAATGCGTCTGAGAGGTGCATACAGCAAATGTGAAATTGGTCAGCAGCGAGAGTTGATCTCGAGATCAAGTGACAAATCGCTTCAAATGTCCATTTGAGCGAAGAGTTTTGCGTCAACTTGAGTCGGTTGTACCGACGAAGCAAGCATTGGTGGGCTCGTGAAACATGTGATCCAAGACGACAACCGAGTCGGTTGATGAGAAGTGGACTTTGCGCCGATAGTCCACTGCAAGCTGAGCTCAAAGCGTCGTGGCGACTGGCACAAACTGTCGGTCTTACTTGAGCATGTGTGCAGATCGCAAGATGGGTCCATCACGGATTGCCGGCACGCTTGTGATCACCCTCGTCCTGATGCTCCAACTTGGACGTCGAGTCGTCTGTCAAGATCGTGAGTGACTGGTACCATTCGCTTTTTCCCCATTTCCCTTGTCCCTCTTTACACACCCCATCACCGTCGCACTCGAGCCATGTTGGAACAGCCAGGCTGGGCGCATGTGATCAAAACTGGGCTCAACCGAAGCCGACTCGTGGCCGTGGCGAGTCTGGGCTGGTTAGACGAGCAAGTGAGATCCTCGAAAAGACGCAACTCGACTGAAGGGATGCAACTGAGCATGCGATACGCAAGACGGCAAGTCATCCTCAGGCAACATGTGTTGCTAAGGCGAGGCTGGACTTCAAAGATGCCCGGAATACTTTTTTTTAACGGCACTTTTTAACATCAACCTAGTCGGTCCCGGCGATGGAAACCGGATTTATCACATCCTCGCTACACATCAGCACTTCGCGCATACACAGACAGTGCATATGCAAATTACAAGATGGGATAATTGATAAGGAGCTCCTCTATATACTTATTTACTATGCGAGTAGTATTCATGAATATAGGTGATTCATTAATAAAAACTCAGTCAGACTCGATAAATTTAGATGATTTAAGGGCATAGACTCAATTTAGAAGAACCGTGTTTGTGCCTCCTGATGAAAGATCACATCATACTGTGCCGGTGATATGAACAGTAAAATCACAATACACACTTCTGTCATTTTCTGGCCAATTTACACGGATGCTTCAATCAAACACATTCAAATCAAAGTGAATTAAATAACTATATATATATATATATATTAATCATAATAATATAATAGAATATATATACTAAATAAAATCCATATATAATCTC